AATAACTTCTTTGAATTGTTGTTTTAATAAATCTTTTTGGGGCCCCCTTGAAGCGCTCGCACTGATTTGCTTCTCAGGCGCTGCGAGGTTGTGCCCGACCCAGTCAGATTGCGCTTGATTCAATTCTTAGGTCTTAGATGAATATGTTTTTGCAACCTAAATTTTAGACCTAAATGCACTCGACGCATTTCAGTTCGGGGTGGCGCGGCAGTCTACAGCTGGAGCTACTTTGAGAAATTGGTGATGCTCCACAATGGTGAACCAGACCAATCTGAAGAGACTGCATCCATGCCTCCAGGGCCACCTTCTGACATTAAGGTTGAGTCCCTTTTGGATACTTTGCTGTGGGCAGTGGCGAAATTTGGTTCCCTCAGTGCCACTATGCAGAAGTTGGCTGAGCTTGCTGACAAGATTAGGGAATCGAATGCCGCGCTGGGTCCAAAGGTTGACAACCAGAACCTGGCGATCACGAAGATCAGTGACGCCGTTGTCGGCCTAGCAGCTCACATCAAAGTGGGCTCAGAGGCTGTTAGCCCTATTTTGCACCAAATCAAGAGCTTGTCTAAGGCAATGACCGATGCCAGTCGGCAGCTTTCGGGCAGCGGAAAAGAGCCGAGGCATCGCTACATCTACCAGCAGCAAAAGGCCTTGGATTTGGGTGGAGGCCACCCGAAGGCTCTGTGAGGTCATTGGGGAGTGCCCCCCCAGTGGCTTTTTCAGCGAGAAACCTTACCCGCCCTTGTTTGCCGTTGTATTCACCACGGGTCTCGAGCTCCAGGAATGTCGAGGCAAAGCAACTGGACTTGCAGAAAGTGCTGGATCCAGATGTCGATGAGCACGCTATACTGCAACCATTGCCAAGGATGGTGGCAGTCGGTGTTGCACCAGAAATCGAGATCAAAGTCAAGAAAAGGCAAAGCCGAAGAGAGCACCAAGAAGCAGATGAAGAATCAAAAGAGCCAAGGCGCAGAGGATGTGTTGGCATTGACCCCCTTCTCGAGCAGAAGGCCAACACCAAAAGAATCGCCTGGCGTTCCTTGGATGAAAGGTACACCCACGACGAGGCTGAGTGTACCCAAAGAGACTGGGGAAGAATTGCCAATTCCCAGCACCAGATTTGCCAATTCCTCCTGCACCGCCTGCAGTGGTTGCAGAGGTCAAATCAAAGCTGGAAGATCTCAAACGTACGTTGGGAGTAGCGTACACAAAGGAGATAGAAGACAAGGTCATGGAAGCAGCTAATGTTTCATTGGTTGCGAAGCCAGAGATCACTCACGGTGCGCTCAACAAAATTGCGCAAGCAAAAAAACAGTTCACCAAAGCAAAGGAAGCCGTTTTGGAAGTGGACAAAGAGTGGAAATTCTTTGCCGAGACCCTGAAGACGGCATACGATCGAGAAAGAGCAGCATATGTAGAACAGAGAGCATCAGCAATGGAGAGCCTTTCAACAAGAAAAGAAAAGCTCAAAGAATTGCAGGATGCTATGAGGCAATCAGCAATGGCCCAAAGCTTGATGGAAGGAGAAGATGTTCCACAAGAGGGTATCATGGAAGATGGGTACACCATCCCTCCGGATCCGGTGGAGCCGATTTCGGACGAGGAACTACTAGACGATTCCATGGTGAAGGGCCGATTGCCAAGTCCAAAGCCCTTTTCACGAGGAGCTTCGGCATCAGCTGGCAAAAGGAACGAAGGGCAAGCAGGGAACTTGTCAAAGAAGCCAAAATTCGATCACTCTGGGCAAGATGGAGAGGGCAAGTAGGAGGTTTGTGGTTGGATGGCGCCGCTTAAGGCTGACGTCAGCATGCTGCTATGGTTTGTTTCGAGTCTTTTTTACTTTGTCCTCTTTCCACCAATTTTCAACCCAGGGAAGAATTGGGTTAATGCTTATGAAGCATGTGGAATTGCAATGGATGTTTTTCACAAGCTAGCATTGCCCGCCCATTGTGGGCCTTTCGAGCCGATTCCAGAGCACATTTGTCCGATCTTGAATTGCTTGATTGGAGCCACGGAAAAAAGGAAGCAATCGGCTTTTGTCTCGATGCAGTTGGCCATGGCAAGGATGGTCTGTTTGGCACGGGAAATCAAAGCCAGAAAGATGTTCGCAGAGCCCATGAACATGCGAAATTGCTTGAATTGCACGCATGGATTCTAAAAGGGAAGATGGCATTTGACATCCTCTCTGGAATTGCAGCGCTGTTTTCAGTGTTTGTCAAGTTGTTCCTTTTTTGCCGAAGAGCAAGAGTGGCAGAAGGAAGAAGCGTTGCATGGTCAAAGGAGCTAGGTACCAGGCCAGAGTTCCGCGCATCATCAAACCGAAGATGGTGCGAACTGTTGTGCTGCTTTACCTGTTGATAGTCGAAGTCAGTCCTTCGCCTGTGCGCCCTGTTGAAGAAATGAGTGGCGTTGAAGGGAGTACATATGATATCAATGTGCAAGGTAGTAGTAGGAACATTGCTCTTGCCAATCATGCAGCGTGGATTAGTGGAACTAGCCAAGTTGGTTCTGCAAATGATGATATTCAATTGGTCGTTGTTTCAGAAGAAGAAACATGGAGGACAGCGCAACCTAAAAGCCAGCTGGAAAGAGTGGATTGGCCAGGATTGGTCATTCCAAACTTCTTGACTGACTCAAGCACGGAATGGCAAGTGTGGCCAGTTGTCCCCCAGCCTTCGACTCTTGAATACACGGTCATGTTAGTTGATGTGGCAAGGCAGCGAGACCTTGATATGGTGCCTATCTTGGTTGCTGACATGAATTTAGATGGGTGCCGCGAGGTCTTCAAACACGCGGATTAGAAGCATACCTTGGTTGGTCACCCAATTCCTTGGAAGTGGCAGGGTTGTGTGCTGAACACCATGTTTCGGTTGGTCATTGGTACACTCAGGTCCAAGAAGAGGAAGCTAGCTGCGTGATGCAATCTCACCCAGGTGTCAGTCAAGTTTTTCAAAAGCAACTTGACGCTGCGGACAGACTTAGGGCAGTGTTTGAGGAGCTGTCAGGGGACAGTCAAATGGCTTCGGATAGGGTAGGTTCAAAGAATGGAAAGGGTACCATACAGACAAAAAGATATGACATCTATGTTCTTTCATCAACCCAAAAAAAGGGAGACAAAAATAGGCAGCTAATTCAAGGTTCAGTTTGTACCGATTCTCACTCTCACGGCGTATGCTCGAGTTTCTTCGATTTACTTAGGTGCACAAGTACTACATACAGTATGCTCAATTTTTCACACACTCTCCAATGTTCTGAAGGCATTGGGGCTTCACTGGGCTTCACTGGGCTTCAGCAAACGGAGACATTCGAGTGTATGCAGTGATCCTGCACCTCAGCCTCACAATCACTACACACGCTACTCAGTGATGTAAGTGCACACTTGCTGCGTATGCTGGAGTTCAAGTTTTGACAGTTCAAGTGTTAGGAAGTTCGAGCAGTGCACCTGCCGCGGCAAATGTGCTCTCGTATGTGTGCTTAGACATCTCTCTCCGCCTCTAGACCTCTAGAACTCGGGACGCCATCACCTCCATCACCTCCTTCATCATCATCATCATCGTCATCATCACCACGACCATCATGACCGCCACTACCACCATCACCACAAGCTCAACCAACGCTTCTAAAATATGTAGGCCTTTTGCTTCTACACCTCTACACCTCTAGACCTTAGATTTAGACACACTGTTTGGGCAGGGTGTGGTTTTGGGGGAAGGGATTCATTTCTGATGCTCGTGGTTCTTCTTTAGGCTGACGGTTTTTTCGCCACCAACGCCCGGTCCTGCTTTTGACTTGTAGGATGGCCGACTGACGAGCAGGTTTGTGGTTTGGGTTCACGCACTCTTTGCCAAGAGAACCGTGGACGTGGGGAATGTGGGAGTTGCACGTGTTTGCCAGCAGGGTGATTGTCCCAGCGGCCTGTGAAACCTGTACTTGAAGAGAAGCTTTCGCAGGTGGCGATGGCCATCGCTACTAGGGTGGAGGCCATCGCTACTAGGTTCAAGTGACGCTTTTACTCAGAAAAGTTGGGCGTGTAGCAGCAAAGGTGATCATTGGTAGGTACGCGGGCAGGAGGCACATGGAGGCACCATGTATAGCCTTGCCATCGCTGGAACTTTGTGGGGCCCAAACTCTCACCATTGAACCGTTTGTTGTTGCCCCGAAAAGAGTCATTGCTGGCCATGGCACATGTGACATTGCTTTTTGCGCCCAAGTCCTACCTCTACACTACCCTGGAGGCCCCCCGGCCGGGGGCTCCGCTACCCCTTATGGCCCCCTTATGGACACCTTTCCGAACGGCTGCCCCTGTTCTAGCCTGCCTAAGCCGATAGGGTGAACGAACTGGCGAATGCTGTTGCTGTTTCGGTGGTTCGGTGAGACGGCAAACCCCTAGTGGCGTCCTTGCTCCTAGTAGCGATGCCAGGAGCCCCTAGTAGCGTCGTTGCTCCTAGTAGCAAACAAAAAATGTGTCTATTTTTTCTTCGTAAGTTTTCAGTTCGCTTATACTGTGAGTACGAGCTATAGTTGGGACGCTCCGAATGCCGGCGCTTGATGCCTAGGCTGGAAGATTTGCGTTCCACAGCGACGGGGACCTCTTCTTGAGGCACGGCCCATGGCGCAGCATTTCTTCATATTTCTTCTTGAAAGAACGCTACTAGGGGATCCTGGCATCGCTACTAGGAACAAGAAGCTATTAGAAACAAGTGCATCGCTTCTAGTAACAAGTGCCACGCTACTAGGAGCAAGAACGCTACTAGGGGCTCCTGGCCTTACGGACGTTACCTGGCATCGCACTAGGAACAAGAAGCTACTAGGGGTTCTTGAAAGAACGCGCAGCAGTCCAGCGCAGAATTTTCTCAACCTGCGTTGCACTGCCGCAGCAGCTTCCTACCTGCCTGCTTTTTTCAGCAACGCCCCCCTCGTTCTTAAAACCGGTTTGTTTGAACTGCTTTCACAACCAAAAGGGTTCGTTTAATTTTTCTCGTGTTTCAGCCGTGATCGCCTGATGCTTCTTGCTTTTGTTTCTCTTGCTCCAAAGATCATTTGGCCTCCCTGTGCTTTCTTCTCTGGCGCCCCTCCGCAACCAGGCCGCGGTCACCCAGGACAGTCTTCCCCACAGCCAAGAGAGGTCTGCGAAGCCTGTTGACAAACGCTGTTGTCTTTTCGTTGAGTGATACAGTTACAGCATGGCGTCAGGCGAACCAGCAAGTGGCCCAGCTGACTTGACATGAACATATTGTAAGAAGCGCTTGGTGAACGTGTTGGCGCTAGGCTAAACGCAATTTGTTTGACCGCTTCTCATGCGGAAGCATGACAAGCCCTTGAATAAGGGAAACCGGCAAAGCAGCCCTCCTCTTCGAAGGTGCAGGGCACTGAGATTGATGTGGAAGACACCAACTGGATCCTTTAAAGTTTTCCCGGCAGACGCCCCAAACAGGAACACAAATACCGGCTAGCGGGCGCGCGAGACCGTGCCTAAGAGAGCACACATATCACCCTTCACACTTAGATTGTTGCTCGCAAGAGCTAGTATCAGTACGAAGTCCCCCTTGACTTGACGAAACGGAAAGAAGCGCAAACCGCAAGGTGAAAAGTCCGTTCATTTGAAGGTGTTGTAACAAGTTGTCTTCAGCTCAGTAGACCTTTGCTGCACAACACCGTAGGAGACAGCTTGTTCAACACCGCCACAAAAAGGTTAAAATTGCAGGTACGTCCAGCTGGCCAAGCTGGATATCCCATTTCACTGGTAGCTTCGTCTGACACAGTCCCAGTGAAAGGCTGTGTCCCTGCCTCTTTTTTCCCGCGCTGAGAAACTATGTTAGTAGCGATGCCAGGAGCCCTTAGTAGCAAAACCAGGGGCCCTAGTAGCGTTCTTTGTGACTCAAAACCTTAGGCGCAGGTGTGGACACGCGCGCGCGAAGCCGTACTCGGCGCACTAACCCTTGCTTGCAGTTTAGTTTAGTAGCATGGCCAGGAGTCGCTAGTAGCGTCCTCACACCCCGTAGAAAGGCCCCTAGGAGTACGGTCCTGGCTCCTGGTAGTGAGGCCAGAAGCCTCTAGTAGCGTCGTTTGTGTCGCGAAGCTTTGTACACATAGCGCCAATATTGGCGCTTTTTTGAAAAGTACTAGCCACCTAAAGAGCCTTAGAAAGACAGAAAAAGCAAACAAGACAAAAGCAGACTAAGAGGGCAAGAGAGAAAGATAG